GAGGGTGTTGACCAAGCGTTGATTGGGGGTTGCTTGCGTTGACTCGGCGTTGACCAAGGCGTTGACCGGAGTTGCTGCTGACCAAGATTTTGACCAAGCTGGAGTTGGTGATATCTCGTTGACCCTTCAGCCTATCCCCTTACCCTGTGGATGTGCACTTACCCCACGGTACTTGCTGAGTTGTCTGTCTACTCTTTCTGCATTGAGTCTCTTTTGTCTTAGGTGCTAGGACTCTGTGGATGAAGGATAGGGCCTTGCTGCCAAACCTGCACGGGCTTAGTAGGACCTAAGCTCTACTCTGACACTTGGAGACCTGGGCATGAGCGGCGAGCGCTCGTTAAACAACTCGTCTAGCCCAATGACCGGTACTGTCCGGCAGGTCTACTGAGTCCAGTGTGGAGGGTCTGAACTTCGAGCTGCAGGCTGAAACGAAGGCCGTCTTTAAGTGTTGAGGCCTGGTTGAGCCACTCCCCTACCGGACCTAGTAAGGCTGATGATCTGTGTCTGACGACTCGACTGTCCCGAGGGATACGAACCCCTCCAAGGACCGGTACAGACCGGCGGGCTGCTCGGTGTGGCACARTAGGCYGGARMGGCTGAGTTGTGGGCTGAAATCGCCAGAGGARCCAAGCTGATCKCGTCGTCCTRTCTGCGACATTAAAGAATTCTTGCGGAGTTTGGGGGATCTCCTTAAATGCCTCCTAATCAGCTCTTGGTTCTGTAGTGACAGCCTTAGAGTAGTCTTGGGTTAGTAGTGGCCATAGTTGACAGGKTCTTATCCTGTGGTCCTTAGGAAGTCAGTCAGTAGGTTAGTGTGTCCGGGTAKGGCTACGTGGTRAGGAGTGGGACCCTTGTCGTGCACCAACACCACGATGGATGACTACCCGATGTRTGGGTTGCTGGTTGGGTTCTCCCTCTGGGGGACCCTCTGGCGTCTCCTCTTTCCTCTGGGATTTTGGCATACCTTTGTGTGTAGAGTAGGGCCCACTCGAGGTGGTACCGCCACCCAACCATACACGAGGGAGGAGGAGGAGAAGATGGCCGCCATCCTGCAGGAGAGGAAGGAGAAGAAGGAGGCCAAGAAGAAGGCCTTGAAAGAAGAACAGGCGGCCAAATTGAAGAAGATGGAGGAAGAAATGGCCAGGGAGAAGGAGAGGCTGATAAAGGAAGAAGAGGAGAAGCAGAAGGAGGTGGATGAAGAGGAGGAGGGACCACCACTGCAAAGGAGTGGGCAGCACAGCGGCCGCAGCAGTGATGAGATGGAGAAGAAGATTTCGGAGTGGGTCGCCAACTTATCCCTGGGTGAGGARGAAGAGGTTGCTATGTACATCCCCAAGGATGAGCAAGAAGCCGCCATGAAGAAATGGGAAGCAGAAGAAGATGTTCTGACGCGGCGGGCGATGGAGGAYGAACARAGGATGGCGTGGAAGCTYGCAGTGATGAGGGAGAARAAGAGAAGARTGGAGGCGGCGAATGCSGCAATGCAGGAACTGGAGGAGGTGAGGGCTGCCGTAACAACACAATTGATTCCGCAAGTGGATCTCCAACGTAAAGTGGAGATCATCGCCCAGAGCGTTGAGCGGTTAGCTAAAKKGCAAGAAAGGCACTTTGAGTTTAGTCGYAGCCAGGAGATWTMTGTACGCTCRATGCGAACRGGCTTACGGGATTTTGCTCGCGAACTAGTAGGCGCTGTGGGATCCGAGGTGAGTCATCGCCTYGAGAAGACTGAGCGTTKTTGTGTCGGCGCCATCGAAGGCGTCAAGGTRGCCRCTCCCAAGGAGGAGGAGGCCSGTCCTYGCAGGGAGCCAGTCAAAGTCAAATTCCMTGATTCCTACAGTGGGAAAAGGGAAGAGAACTTTGACAATTGGGARGCCAAYGTTAAGACCTATGTGCATTTGCAACAGGTCTCCCCGGATCAGCAGGTCTTAATTGCGATCCATGCACTTAGAGACGAGGCCGCCAGTTTCGCGAGATCCCTTGTTCGTGCTGCCAACTGTAGTGACGATCCAGTTGCGTACTCCTCATTTACGTCCCTCACCGAATTCCTGAAGTTGCTGCGCRAGCGATTTGCTGATGTCGCTCGCAGTGTCAAGGCCTCAGACAAGCTCCAAACCATCCATTCTCGTAAATGGAAGAGTGCCAGGGCACTCAAGGGTACAATGGATGAGTTGGTGGCCGTCCCTGACCATGGGGTCACAGAGGGCCAATTGGTTAACCTCTTTTACCGGGCTATGCCCGAAGCCTTTCGAGGACAGTTCTTCGCGAAGAGCGAAGACCCTGCCACCACTTAAGATTCCCTTAGTCGTGAGGTGGCGGCTTTTGAAGCGAAGTCAGTGTCCCTGTCCACCTTTTGGCATAAGGATTTGGACAAGGGAAAGCAATGGAAAGGCCGCACTATCTCAGGGCAGGTAAAGACCAAGGATARSCTYGKCYTKACTTTAGATGAGGGTAGTGTGGATGAGATTCCCTACGATCAGATTGAGTGGGGGCTAGAGGAGGCGGACAGCGGTGTGGGCCAGGGGAGGACTTACACTGCTGTCGCGGCTGGAGGGAGGCCGCAGGGCCAAGGGGGCCGGGCCTCAAGGAGTCGATTTCAGGGCGATCAGGGGGTTGGCGGCAGAGGAGGAAACCGCCAAGTGGGAGGCAGGGGTCAAGGTCCCCTGCAAAACCGTCCTAGGAACAGGTCTCCCTATAGGGTAGGAGGATGGCACCCAGGGCTACCGCAGGGTAGGCCTTGGGAATCTTTGGGTCTGGACCAGGCTTTATGGCAACAACGATTGGACCGGGGCCAATGCATTTTCTGCGGTGACCCGGGCCACATCATCAAATATTGTCCTAAGTACAGAGAGACCCGAACGGCTGCCCAAGGGCCAAAAGGCAGCCGCCGGTAGGGGTAGCAACCGCCCCTACCACTAGGCCATGTGGGGAACATAGCGCTAGCCGGCAGGAGACTCCCACACCACATGTGCCTACGGCAGAGGTTGCAGGCCGGTGTCTAGACAGCTGTCCCGAAACTGCTTGCGTTAGAGTTTCGCTAGACACCTCCCTCACAGGCATGGCCGAAGAATTGAAGGAGAGGATGCCCGCTTGGGCCAAGATGAAGAAGGAGAATAAAGGGCAGCTTATATTGTGAGATACAGAGATTTTTAGGAGTAGAGTAGGGGCCCTAGTAGATTCAGGGGCCACCCGCAGCTATATTAGTAAGAAAGCGCTGCAGAAGTTGAAGCTGGGACTTGAAGTCCAGAAATTGACAGACCCAATTGTAAGTATCCTCGCGGACAATCGTACTATGGTCGTAGAAGAGTATGTAGAGGGAGTCCAGGCATATTTCCGCCTAGAGAAGGATGGGAAAGTGGAGAAGGTCCTCCACTCCCTGACTCTCCTCGTAGAAGACAGCCTCCCATTTGATATTGTCTTGGGAATGGATTGGAGAGAGGCAGCCGGGGCGACGCTCCATCTGAAGGAGCACGAGTGTAGGCTCCCTAGTTCCTCAGGCGAGGCTAAGACTGCCCGCCTGTTCCATGTGTCAGGGGTAGAGAATTCCTTGGCGCATTGCTGCTTGAGTGCCCCCGCCAGATTAGTGAAGAAGGAGAAATTGAATGAGCAGGTCTTTGTTGCCTATGTGAGGCCAGTGACTGAGCCTACGGAAGAAAAACCGATGGACCCTGCGATTGCCAAGCTACTGGAAGAGTTCAAGGACCTRACCGAGTCGCCGATAGGAGTGGTACCGCGGCCCATCCAGCACCGTATGGAGATAGAGCCTGGCAGTAGGACTCCTAAGGGCGCTGTATATAGGATGTCCCCACGGGAGTTAGAGGAGCTCCTCGAGAAGGGTTGGATTAGGCCCTGTTCGTCCCCTTTTGGAGCGCCTGTTCTCTTTGTTCCTAAGAAAGAGGGAGAGTTGAGAATGTGCATAGACTATAGGGGTCTGAATGCTATTACAGTGAAGAATGTTGAGCCACTGCCGAGGATAGACGATCTCTTAGATCGAGTGCAGGGGGCCAAATATTTCTCTAAGGTAGATTTAAAGTCCGGATATCATCAAATAGAGGTACATCCTGATGATCAGTATAAGACAGCTTTCCGGACTAGGTACGGGCATTATGAGTTTATAGTGATGCCCTTTGGACTAACCAACGCGCCARCTACRTTCYAGCGCTGTATGAATGATTTGTTTAGGCCATGGTTAGACAGATTTGTCGTAGTTTATCTAGATGACATTCTCGTGTTTAGTAGGACCCTTGAAGAGCACCAGGGTCATCTCAGGCAGGTCTTGGAGAAGCTGAGGGAAGCTAACTTCAAGATCAATGCAAAGMAGTGCGATTGGGCGAAGACCCAAGTTTTGTATTTAGGCCACATCTTAGACGGAGATGGCGTTAAGCCAGAGGATTGCAAGATCGCAGCGATTAGAGAATGGCCCACGCCACGTACGCTGACAGAGTTGCGCTCGTTTCTGGGCTTAGCTAATTACTACAGGAAGTTCGTGAGGAACTTCTCCACCATCRCTGCGCCCCTTCGCAGATTGTTGAGGAAGGAGACCATCTAGAAGTGGGATAAGGACTGCACGTCTGCCATGAAGAAGTTAAAGCAGGCATTAATAGAGTATCCAGTCCTTAAAGTCGCCGATCCGTCCTTGCCTTTTGTCGTTACTACGGATGCTAGCCAGTACGGCATAGGCGCAGTGTTACAGCAAGACGATGGCAATGGCTATAGACCCGTAGAGTTCATGTCCGCCAGGATGCCTTCAGAGAAGGTCGCGACATCTACCTACGAGAGGGAACTYTACGCTCYCAGGCMAGCGTTAGACCACTGGAAGCACTACTTGCTTGGGAGGCACTTCAAAGTCTATTCTGACCATGAAAGATTACGATGGTTAAAGACGCAGGCCAAGATGACACCTAAGCTTAGTAGGTGGGTCGTAGAGATAGATCAGTACGACTTTGAGCTCAAGCCTGTCAAAGGGAAGTACAACGTAGTTGCGGATGCTCTGAGTAGAAGAGCTGATTATTTGGGGGCAATAGTACATTACCTCGATATAGGAAAGGATCTGCAGCAGCAGGTTAGAGAAGCCTACGCGCAGGACCCTATCTATGGTGAGCTCCTTAMGAAAGTCAAGGAGGCCCCAGAGACCGAGCCGAACTACCGCACTACTGAAGGGTTGCTTTTTTAGAAGACTAATGTTTTTGACCGATTGTGCATCCCCGATAGCGAAGAGATCCGCAGTCTAATCCTGGGAGAATGCCATGACACGGAGGGGTCATTTTGGTTGGCAAAAGACCTTAGCCAATCTGATGCGCGCGTATACCTGGCCAGGGATGAAGAATGACTGCGTAGAGTATGTTCGCAGTTGTAAGGTCTGCCAGTGTAACAAGTCTTCTACGCGTGCCCCGTTAGGTCTTCTCAGACCCTTGCCCATTCCGGATCAGCCGGGAGACTCAGTGTCAATAGATTTCATGGACACTCAAGTCAAGAGCAGGCATGGCAAGAGCCAAGTCATGGTCATAGTTGACCGCTTTAGCAAGTACGCAGTTTTTGTTCCTTTGCCTTCTGAGGCGCGTACTGATTTAGTCATACAGAGGTTCTTTGACTGTTGGGCTAGTGAGAATGGAATCCCGCTGTCTATAGTTAGCGATAGAGATAGTCGCTTTACTAGCCAGAACTGGCAAGAACTCATGGGAGTTGATGTCGTCCGACCGCCATCCAGAGACTAACGGTCAGACAGAGCAAATGAACAAGATCCTGCAGCAAGTTCTGCGCATGTATATTAGGCCAGATCAGATTAACTGGGATGAGATGTTGCCTAAAGTAGCTAGTGCGTACAATAACAGCGTGCATCTAGCCACCTGCCGCACTCCCAACGAACTGCACAAGTCCTTTTGACCGCGCAGACCGTTTGAGGGACTCAACCGCSATCAGATTCACAGATTGCCGCCCGGGACCAGGGAGTTTGCTGTACARCACGAAAAWGAACTAGCTACKGTTGTAGARAACCTCAGGAAAGCCCAGCATAGGATGATAGAACAAGCGAATAAACATCGTCGCCCCTCACAGTTTCAAGTAGGCGACTTAGTCTGGGTTAGTTCTAAAGAGTTTACACCTGAGGAGAACATCTCGCAGAAGTCACTGCCCACCTATAGAGGACCGTGGCCAGTCTTAGAAGTCAAGGGCGGCGAAGACGGACCGTCCTACACTATAGAACTCCCAGCACACCTCCACACGTACCCAGTTTTCCATGCATCAAAGTTATTACCTTGTCAAACAAGTGATCAGTTTCCATCCCGTAGATCGATGATCCCACCAGATATGGATGGAAGATATGACATTGATGGTATAGTGGCTGAAGATGTCTTCAGAACCGGAGGTAGGGGTCGTCCGCAGAAACAGTACAAGG